AAAAATATTATATGGAATTGAACGAAAATGAAAATTTGCTTGATAATTCAACTACGCTTGTTGGAGAACAATAAAAACACTACACTCAACAAGCCACCAATAAACCTCAACTGCCTAACCTATAACCAAAGTCTCCTTTTAATTTGTTTTTAAAAAAAAGCGCTTGACAAACTTGCCCCGCATGCCGAAGTTGCCCCAGTCTCCCCTATATTATTTTAGTTCGTATAGTTTAACATGGAAAGAGGAAATCAGTCATTTTTATGTTAGGAAGTTGTTGATTCCGACTGATTGATATTTTGAAAGGAATTATTCATCCGTTGTACATTTGTTTTTTATATTAATTATTTTAAAAAAAAACTAAAATAGAATTTCTAATAAAAGTTGGAAAATAAAAAAATTTGGAAGTGTTTTAAAGTCGAATTAATTTAAGTTTAAATTATTCGCTTCAAGAAAGTAATAAAACTAAACGTAAGAAAAAGTAAGGAGATTTCTCAGGACATTTATTATATGAAATCGTGAACGATAAGTTTTGTTCAAAATACATAAAAAATATATTTTGTTATTGTAAAACACTTATCGTATGAGAAAACGAAATTAATGTCTTGATAGTCTGTCAGATACAAAATGTCGGTAAATTAGAAAGACCTTTCAACGTGTCACCGGATAAACCCTTTATTTGATTGTATTGTAAGTACAAATATTCAAGACAGAAGAGGTTTCTAAAGACCAATGAAAAAATTAATTTAAATATATTGTCAATTAAGTCTACTTTTCTCAAATTGTGAAGTTTATAAAATAGGTCTTGTAAAATGTTTAAATTTCCATCCGTGATTTATAATACAGAAAGATTAATAAACATTATTTTATATTTGTTAAACAGAAAGCATCTTCATGCTGGTACGACAAATTGACTAATTATGTCAACATTATTATTACTAAGCCAACACACAGCTCGTCAGGTTATTCGGCAAAGAAAAGAAATTTTTTAAGTGGAGTTTCAAAAGAAGAAGCGTAAAACAGCAATTATCGTAAATATAGTATAATTTATTTCTGAATCGACTTTGATCACTACTACATGCTAAGCTTTTACGAGATTACGAATTCCTTACTTCACGAGAACAGTGTTTACTACACAAACCATTATTAAAGAATTGCAGAAAAGTAATTAAAATTAAGCATCTGTTTTTAACTGAATTCTATTTTGAATGCAGAAATTTAACAAATTCATCAAAGCAGAAGTTTTCTTTAATGTCACGTACATTTTTCTCTGCAGTTTAAAACTGCAAATCTCTTCCAACTTCCATAAAGGACGTAAAAAATATACAGAATATTTTAAATTTTTTTATTATAATGTACAGGTACGTACTAATTATATAAGTTAAGTAAGCTGCATATTTCAAATTTTTTCCTTATACAGTAGAACCTCGATTATCCGGACAAATTGGGGATGAAGGTAGTCCGGATAAAGAAAAATCCGGATAATCGAAACAAATACTTTAATTTGTCTTTTAATGATAATACAACACGTTTTCTTTTCGATGACATATCGGTAATATTAAAAGTAAATACTGTATTTAAATCGTGATCAAATTTTCAAGAAACAAACGTTCGTATTGCATTTCGACTACTACTGACCAACGCTAACATGCTACCTATTGTTTAAAAGGCCCTCTGGTGGCGCAAGAAGACGGATTTTAGTAAAATAAAAAAGCAGTTGAAACTGCATTTTTATGAATAAAAATTTGACAAACTATTTATCGTTTTACGACAGGTAATTGTAAATAAAACAATTTTAATCTGTGTGACTATGTTGCTGTAATCTTATACACCAGTGTGGTAAGTCCTATTAGTAGAAATACACTGTTATGGTGATTGAAAGAATAATTTGTTTAAATTAAGGACATTGATGCATATTAATCGTAAAATGTTTGTTTATTTTGAACAATCCGGATAATCGAAAATCCGGATAATGGAGATCCGGATTATGAAGGTTCTACTGTATTTATTGTGTTTTGCGATACAACCTAAAGTAACCAAAAGAACACGTAGAATAATTGTTTTAAGACAATAATTTCACCATAATGAGAACTCTAGAAATTCTTTTTATAACACTTTATAAATTATAAAGTACTTTGCAGCCGACGAATTTGTTTACACTCCACACGGCATAACCTCGATTCCTTGGCAAATATCTGACAGAACTCATTTTCTGTGAAAAAGTTGCTTTTAAAAATTTTTCATTTAAATTTGAATGAACATAAACACCCGATATTTTGACAGTAGAACTAGAATTTTGGTTCAGGCTTTACTGCCATATTTTGTTATATTAAAAGTCTTTGGATAAGGCGTAAAAAATTTTTTATCGTAAAACGTGTCGTATATCTATATTGATATTCTATTCTATTCTTCTGTGTTCGTATAGCGTAAGGTTTCTCATTTCCCGGTCTTTAACTTGTACCGACATAGATTTAATTATTTTTAAAATATACAAAACATCTTCAAATCAATTAATATAATTATTTTTCATTTTGTAAAGTAATTTAATACGTAAAACAACTTCGAAAATTATATTAATAATGCCGTGTAAGATATATATTAAAAATTACCTTTGAATTACGTAGAAATTTTCACAATAAAAAATAATTATTAATGTTTGCTTGAAACTGCGGCAACAACAACAACAAAACTGCGTTTGAATTGACTTGAAAATTTAAAAACAAATAAAACTTAAATCAAACTTCTAACTTAAAACGTAATTTTCGTTTTCTAAATAAAACTTAATACAAAATATTATTGTGAATCTTTATAATAAGATTTTAAAAAGTAAAGATAATCAATACTCTCATCGATCAATCTGATTCTTATTTTAATAATAAAAAGCCCCGCAACCGAGAATGCCTTTTCCGATTCAATTGATGTTGATGAATAGTCTTTAATGCATTTAAGAAAAGACATACGTTATGTGTTTTTTCACCCGTAGCTTGGAAGATTTTTAGTTTGTTTTCGAGATTGTAGTACTTCTTTTGCTCTCTAGCGGCATCGACCTTACAGCCCTATAATTCGGTAGTTAAAGAACCCATTCGAAGAAACGATGATAAACGTACGAGTCTGACGAGCGGGCCGAAGGTTCTCGTATCTGCTTGGCGACACGTAAGCGCGGAGGAATGACGCCTTTGGGTAAGTCTTTTATAAGAAATTGGGCCCTATTTAGGCGATACAAACGTTAAGAAAACCCGAAAAACTGCAGCCCGTCCAACCATGGCGCAAACGAACTCCCTCTGAACCAACCCTCAAACGAACTCCCAGTGTTTTGGGAACGCAGACGGTTTGCCCTCTATACTATTTGCATTATTAATCGAGACGAAGCGCGCTTGGTGTTAGGTAGAGACGCTTCTGTTCGTGACGTTATCGACTACCAGGTAAAATGAATGGCATCGAAACCCTCTCTACTCTACGTGTTGTTACACTGTGATCGTAACAATAATACCGTCAGTTCTCATTCAGGTAATCAATTAAATAATCGTCTTTTTTTTCTAAATTCACTGATTTATTACGTATTAATAAACATTATTGTACAAAATTCACAATCGAAATTTACTAACAAAGCGCAGCATATCTCAAATGCACAAAATTAATTTCTGTACAAACGAATACAGAACAACAACAATTTGTAGAAAATTATTCATTATACCGGTTAAACATTTCAATTGACAAATTGTCAGTTGAAACGTTGTAGTAAATCACTTGTTCTTCCTTAGGCTCTGCCACTTTCTCGACATTTCTTTTTTTATGACAATAAACAAAGGAAGCAAACATAATCCAACTGAACAACAGTAGAAAAGCAAACACAGCAACTGCGACTTTCCATCCAAAAGCACAACCAACTTCGTCAAAACACACGCCTTTTGTAGGAGAAACATTTACGAACGACATGAACTTATCTTCTGGGATTTGTATGCATTGATTATTAGAAATAAATCTGATGAAAGAGAAAACAGACGAGTTTTTCGTGCATAAAACATCGGAGAAATCTAAAATCTTCCTTTTGTTTCGAAGTAACCAGTCTTTTGTAAATCGCGAATGACAATCACAATTCCAATTGTTTCTCGACAAGTATACCGTGAATTCAGCAGAAACGTCGATCAGATTCATTAATCCGAAAGACAATTCGGTTAAACGGTTTCCGTTCAACCAAAGAAATTTGATGTTTGGCAAAAAAACACAATCCGGAAAATGCAATAGAGAATTGTTGCTCAGATGCAGACGAGTGACTTTGCCCCACGTTCGATAATCCACAGTTGAAAATTCATTTATGTAATTATTACTCAAATCGACGACTGTTGCATTTTCGATTAGAAATTCGGGTATTTTCTTTATTTCCTTTCGATTACAATCGACTCTGAGCTCGTCGTTTTTCGAGAAGCATTCGCAGTTTAGCGGACAATGGCTTCTAATAGAGAAGAATTGCGTAAAATCCAGCAATTTTCTTTCTTCTCCGTGACATTTCATGTCTTTTATATTCGAAAAAATTTGTAACGAAATTTGTAAATTTGATTGAACAGTACTGATAAAATGCAAAAGTTCTCCATCACAAATTATTGGGTTTCCATATAAATGATAATTGGGTTGGTTGAATCCGTATTTCCATTCGTCGATGTAAATTGTTTTTATGTGACAGTAATTTAAAATAACCTTCATTCGATTTGGAGTGTAAATCGGCAATTTGACAGTTTCGAAATGGTTAAATGGAGCATAAACATAAGTCAAATTGTATTTTGTCCAATTTAAATTCGGCCATTCTCTCAAACCCGCTCTACCCAAATAGAGTTCTTCGAATTTATTGTTGAAGTCGAAAAAAATTTTACTGAAATTGTTACTAGAAAGACGGAGAATTCGTAAGTTATTCATTGGAAGAAAGATGTTTTTAGGTAAAAATGTCAAGCGATTATATGATAAATCCAGTTCGTCGAGATTCGACAAACTTTGAAAAGTATATTCTGAAATGTGTTCTAAACCATTTCCGCGTAAATTGATTTTTTTGAGTTTCGAAAGTCCATCGAAAATACCGTTTGGTACTGTCAATAATTTATTCCATTTGTATTGAAAAACTTCCAGATTTTTATTATTTTTTAGAAGATTGGATGGAAGATGTAGAACATTGTTGGAATCGAAAACAACATTTCTTAAGTTCATGGAATGAGAAAATAAATCTTCTTCGATTCGAAGTAAAGGAAAGTAAGAAGCGCGAAATTCTATTAAATTGTCGAGTCCCTTCAAAAATACAGAGCGCAAGCGTGTTACATTGTGTGGTCCCTTCGAAAATAAATATTCAGAATGAGAGGATTTTCCAGAAATAGAAAATATCGTTAAGTTCGAAAGACCTTCCAGCAAGTTTTCAGTATAACTTTTTATTGGGTTTTCTTCCAAATTTAACTGTTTCAATAAATGGAGATGTCGAAAGACTAAAGGATGAACGGATTCAATTAAGTTGTTTCTTAAATCGAGGGATTTCAAATTATAAAGTCCACGAAAGAGTTTTTCAGGTAAACTTTCTATTTTGTTACTTCTCAAACTTAACTGTTCCAATAAAGTGAAATGTCGAAAGACAAAAGGATGAACGGATTCAATTAAGTTGTAACTTAAATCCAGGGTTTTCAAATTATAAAGACCATGAAACAGTTCTTCTGGCAAAGCCTTTAATTTACCAAAGTTTACTTGTAATTCAGAAAGTTTATTCAATGTTCGGAATGGTCTGTGCAGAAACGACGTAAAATTATAATTTGTGATTTTAAAAGAAATCAGAGAAGAATAGCCGTGAAAACTCAAACTGAATATATCGAAAGTTCTTACGCCTTCAATTTCTAAATATTTCAGAGACGACATATTTATAAATGATGCACTTTCGATATTCAACTTTTCATGTTCGAGTTTCAACCATGGACCTTCGAATTTTAACGTGTATTTTATGACGATTTTTTCGATAACATAATTCGAAGCGAATCTTTCGACGGCAAATATCGACCAGTAACAATCGATAAATTCTAAATTGTTAACGTGTTTAACATTTAAACAACGCATCAAACGAAGGTCGATGGTTTCTTCGTCGCTGCATGTGACAGATAACGTATTGTTGAAGATTTCCACAAACGAATGCTTATTGGATATATGACACCTATCAGCATTTGATATACAAGTATTAATTTTCGTATGACTCCAACGAGGTATGATTTCTGTACCGTTTATAATACGGAATCTATTTCCTCTACATTTGTATATTGGCGATTTACACGAAAAGTTTCCCCATTGGTTCCAGAAATCTTGGCAGCAATTTACTAGCGAGAATAGGAATAGAAAAAGCATTACCAACCTCATTTTTCTGATCACGGTCTTGTCGTATCTTCTATTTTAAGTGAGACGAGTGTCGTAGTGCAATACCCCAGCAGTTGATGTTACAACGGTTACGTTTTGTAGACTGACAGCTAAAGGGGATTAATTACGAGAACAATGAGAATGATTCATTATTTCTTGCTCTTATCGAAGATAACGATGACATAATTTTTGATTAATTTCCTCGTTATTCGTCTTGCTCATATAGTAAGTAAAAATTCGGATTATTTCTATTATTATGTAAGTATTCAGTGATATTTATAAAAAAATGTAACTTATTATATTGAAGAGATCTATCACACACACATATTTTAAATATACACTTAGACTACACGTCTGTATGCCCCAATTGTGAATCAAGTTGACTGTTCTTAAATTCTGAAGATTTTGGAATTTATTAATTGTCGAATGTATATTTTAATATGCAACATGAAGTTGGAAGTGCCGTATAAGAGGCACGACTTATTTATTGACTGTTTTTCTAATTTCCTTCGTTAAGACAATTATGACTTTTGGTTTCTAAACTGTTTCTGCTAACTTTTCATTTTATTTCGATTGTATCTTTCCGTTTATGCTTTTATTTTTTTCTTTTTTCATTGTACTTTGTGTTTCAATCATAGTCAGCACTTCTAAAATCTGAAGACATTTTACAAGTCTATCATTTTTAGCAAATATAGAAGTAATGCGTGTTGTTTTCTGTAAAATATTTAGGTTTTATCTATGTGCTAATTTGAGCACTTGCCCTTCGTTTCGAGGACATACGGAAAAGAGGTTTAACATTTTGACACTTAATTAAGTATTTGGATTACACGAAAATTCTATATTGAAGAAATCGGCCGCATATTAGAAAAAAAAGTAAAAGAACATGAAGAAGCGATACACCACAAGTATACTTAATCACCATGGTATAAACATTCAATTATTAATAACTGTCAAGTTAATAGGAATAAAACTAAAATATTAGATATAGAAAAGGATACTTCTAAACGTAAATTTAGAGCACGCAGAAACTTAGAAATATTGTAAAAATAATTGTTAAATATATCACATGGCATGACTAGATTGTATGAAATAATACAGGGTTATTCATTACTTTCAGTTTAATAAATACGAATATAATTTGGTCGACTGTATCGTACGGTTATTGAACTGGTTGTATTACAATGTATTTCGTCTGTGTTAAACGGATAAACTTGTGTGATATTCGTTTTTCAGAATATTCCTTTAAAATCATTTCCGTATTAAGTGCAACAGAAGAGATAGTAATGACATGACTATTAGAACAGTTGCTGTAGTATCGTTAATTGTGGTTATTTTTAACCATTTTCAATTAATATAAGTTATTTTAAAGCGTACTAAGATAGAAAATGGCCATTAAATACGAAGCATTCCGGGATAGGGTCACTTTCATAGGCTGGTATGAATAAAGGGTACATTAATATATAAGACATAAGCTAAAAAATTATAGAAGCTTGTAAATATTACATTTGAACTGAAATAACCGGAATTCTGACACAAAGTGAAAGTTCTTATTTAGTTTATCCGTGCTTTCTGCTTCCTAAACTTTTTATATTTGGAGATTGTTTCGTCTTGTAAATATCTGGGTATTTATTTTACTCCACAGGGTTCATTTTCTTTTCACCTAGACAAATTGTTTTTGAAATATAAACTTCAGCTTTCTAATTTAATAAAGCATATGGTAAGAATGAAACAGTCTTTCATTAAGTCGTATTATTGATTGTTTTGATTCCTTGATACAATCAAGTATAGGCTATATGTTCCCTATTTGGGGATCGTCTTTCGTTGATAAATTGGGGAAGACGCAATTGAGATTTGTTATATCGATATTTCATATTAATCGTTCGGTGCCTGAACCTGTCTTAAGATTTGAACTGTGTCGTCCACCAATGGCTATACGTTTAACAATGATCATTTTTAGATACTGAAGTAAAGTTTTGGAGTTACCAGACTATGATTCTAGAAAGTTGATTTATGACAAGTTGAAATTAGTAGATGGAAATTCTTCGTTTAAAACTTGGACTTCCTCAGTTGAAAGTTTATTGTCTGATTTAGGTTACTCTACTGATTATTATGCTAACATTTCTGATAAAAACTTTTTCTGGCTGAAATGTCTCAGTCATTAAGGGATAAATATTGGGCCCAAGACATTCATTATATTGAGCAAAAGTGTAGGTTTCTTGAGACTTCCTTTGTATCTCCATGGACACCTCAATATTATTTATTATCAAATTTAAAATATAATATTAAATCTTTAATAATTCTGTTACGTCTCAACGACTATACTATTGTATTAAATAGGCGCAGAATAAATATACCTGCCCATTCTAATTTTCCATTATGTAATAGACTTTGTGAAAGTATTAAAAACCATTTATTTGTATTTTGCGAAATTACCGAGCATTTAAGGAATACTTTATTGACAACCGATTTTTGCTTATATGACGACAATTTATGTTCTGATATGTTATTTAAAGTTTATAAATTATTCTGTTATTTATTAAATATGCTAACATAACATTATTAATTAAGCTTTATTGTTATTAACATTTATTGTTTGTGTTGTTGTTCTTTTTTGAAACTATGTATAACAATCTTTGTATTATCAACGCTACACGATTTTGTAACCCCTTTGAAAAGGCAAAAGCCATAGCAAATTAATGTTGATTGATTGATTGATTGATATTTGTTCTTGACGTGCAAGTATCTAACACCGATCTGGAGATTAAGGATGAACGACGGACAAACAACAGACGAATGTGGTATTTATAGGTCTACAATTTTTGTAATTGCAGCGCAATGATTCAGAGGAAAAAGGGCACAATAAAAATGAAGACGTAAACGCGACACAAAGTAAACAATGTTGTGACAAATATCCAATAAACGACACATATCTTTTTACTTTCCCGCTGTTATATACATGTATAACAGAGGGAAAATGTGGAAATTAATCAAAAACTGATCTCAAAATTTTTACATTTCTGCACTTCGGACAGGTTCAAATGCAAAAAAAGAAAAAAAATTCGTGAATAATTTCTTTATGTATGGATGTTAGTGTGTGGGGTGCACTATTTTGTTTACCATTTTCGAAGCTTAATTACTCCCGTGCTTTTTGTCGACATTTTCTAAAATTTTGCAGGGAAGTTCGCTTATTAGGTAGATTGATAAAATTAAAGTTTGATGATTTGTCTTTCCACCTGTCTATAATTAATGGGAACGTATATAACTCCACTAGGATCGAAGTTTATGACGATTTTACTGGTTATTAGCTTTCATAATTTTTAATGCGATCCATCCCTACACTCAAAATTAATCTTTCTGCTATTTTATAATAATTAAAAGTTTTCCACAATCGACATGCCAAAGTTTTATGCATTAGTATATCCACACAATGTGAACCAGCCAAACATAGACCGGAAGCGATTCTAGGCGTTTTCACATGATACAGCATGACGCGTTATTCCTACGTCATATCAGTCGGAACTGTAACGTCACGACAGATCACTAGATCTTTTTAAGCTACAATCTGTGACATCACAACCAATTACTTGACTCTCGAAAACAATGCTAAATAAATACAAGTCGAGATCATATATTCTACTGAATTCTACTGTAATGTGAATTCTACTATAGTATTTTAGATGCAGTGTTTTTGAGTTTTGTGCGAAATCGAACATGTGTTTTTACTCATCTAAAAGTTCTCTAATTAGCTTCGAAATAGTGGAACCTAATTTTTTTACCCGGCGAAAACGGATGAGATCGACTATAACGTAATAATCTTAATCTTTGCTATCGTTACTTTTTTCGAGCAAGGCAGGGCTCATCTAATAGTATAAAATAAATAAAATACTTTAAACAATAACTAAAAAATTAAATTATTTCAGTTTTTATACNTTTTTCAGAAGAAAACGCCCTTGTAACAGGCGAAAGCCTTTTACGACAAATAAAGATTATTATTATTATTCAACGTCTCACTCGTGTATTTTATGACGATTTTCTCGATGGCGTAACCCGAAACGAATTTTTCGACGGCAAATTTTGCCAAGTAACAATTAATAAATTCTAAATTTTTAACGTGTTTAACATTTAAACAACGCATTAAACGAAAATCGGTGGTTTCTTTGATAGCGAGTTGACGAGTTGTCGAGCATTTCCACTAACGAATGTTTATTGGATAAATGACACCTGTCGGCAGTCGATATACATGAATTGTTTATTCTTAGTATCTAATGAGGTATAATCTTTGTACCGTTTATAATGCGAAATTCTTCTATACTTTTACATTTGTATATGGACATTTTACAAGAGAAGTTTCTCTATTGGTTCCAGAAGTGTTGGCAGCAATTCACTAGCGAGAATAGAAATTGAAAAAGGATTACCAACCTCATTTTTTCTGCTGAGAGTCTTGTCATTTCTTCTATTTTAAGTGAGACGTGGGTCTTAGTGCAATAACCAGCATTTATTGTTACAATCGTTACTTGTTGTCGACTGACAGTTAAAAGCGGATTAATTACGAGAATAATGAGAATGATTCATTATTTCTTCTTCTTATCGAAGATAACTTTTACATAATTTAAAAAAGTCATTACTTTCGTTTTTGTTTTTGTTTTCTTTTTTATTATCGTTTATTATTATTTCTATTATAATTTTATAATAGTTAAAAATATAAAAAGTTTTTTAAATAAAATATGATAATGAATGGTGCCATCAAATGGATGTTACTTAAGATGAAATGTTACACAGAAAAAATGAAAGTTCGCCGCAATCGACATACCAAAGTATTACGCATTAATAGTATTTACGCGGTGTGGACCGATCAAACATAAACCCGAAGCGATTGTAGGCGTTATCACGTGATACAGCATGACGCCTTATTCCAACGTCATGTCTTTTTTCATATCAGGTGGTACTGTAACGTCACCACATATCACGAGACCTTTTTAAGTTAGAATCTATGACGTTCAAACTAATCACGCGGTTCTCAAAAACGATGCTAAATAGATGAAAGTCGAAAAAAGATATGATATGGGAAGCTGGGAGGCAGGAGGCTCCGACTAACTATATACGAACTTCCGATCTAGACCGAAAGTCAGTGATTTTAATTCAATGTATTATCTCGAAAGGAATTAGATAGACGACCGACACGGCTGTGTTGCAACAGGAAAAATGTAGTCCGTGCATATTTTTTTAAAATTAAGTACTTTTCAAACTTTAAGAGTAACTTATATAATTACGTCAAATACATAATGAATTCTTATTTAACTTCCTTTGTTATAATTAATATTCGCAGAAAACATTAAATGAATTTCACATCCTGACGAACATTCCTTGTCATATTAATCACCAAAATGATTTACGATAATTAAAGTTGTCTTTTTATAATTTTAAGAAAAAAAAAAACTTATTTGAAAATACGTTCTAATTATAAATATCAGAAAGTTTCTACCCCGACTGGAGAAAGAGCAGTTGCTAAATTTACTAATTACGAGAAACAATTATATCACCCGATAGTAATTTATTCTGATTTTGAATCGATTCTAGAAGAAGTTGGTGTAAATGCTGTAGATCTAAATTCTAGTTTCACTAAAACTATTCAGATTGATAAACCTATATGTTATTCTATCGTTATTATAGAAAATGATGATGATTTATTGTATTCCAATTTTTATTGTGGTAAAGATGCTGTTAAGCATTTTTTATTTGATATCCAGAATCAATTAAATATTTTATTAGATGAAATGAATGTAGATACTATTCCCGATAATTACGAACATCAGTGTCATATATGTGAGGAGGGGTTTAATTATGATGATATCAGAGTAAGAGATCACGATCACTTAACAGGTGATTTTCGCGGAATAGCTCATAACCATTGTAATTTAAATTATAGATTCAAAAAATTTATTCCTATTATACTACATAATTTTACAGGTTATGACTCCCATCTGATTTTCAAAAATATTCCTCCTAAACTATTTTTGAGAATTCAGATTATCCCAGTAAATTCAGAAAAATTTACTACGTTTACTTCAGATCATTTCAAATTTATAGATAGTTATCAATTTTTAAATTCCTCGCTAACTACTTTAACAGAAAATTTAAAAAATTCAAATTATAATTTTCCTATAATAACGAAAATAAAAATTTATTAAAAAGAAAAGGAATTTTCCCATATTCTTATTTTAAAAATGAGGATATTTTATACGAGAAATGTTTACCCCCAAAAAAATATTTTTATAACGAATTATCTGGAGAAAATATTAGCGATGATGATTATGATCATGCAAAATTAGTTTGGAAAAAATTTCGTTGTAAAAATTTTAAAGATTATTTAAAATTATATCAATATGTTGACACTTTATTACTAGCTGATATATTCCAAAATTTTAGAAAATTAAGTTTAAAATATTATAATTTAGATCCAGTATATTTCATAACAGCTCCGGAATTAACATGGAATTGTGGATTAAAAATGACAAAAATTCAACTCGAATTATTTAAAGATATTAATATGTATTTATTCATTGAACAAGCAATTCGCGGCGGAATTAGCCTAACTTCGAAAAGATTCGCGAGGGCCAACAATCCTCTAATTCCAGAAACCTATGATAAAAATCAACGACATAACTATATTATTTCGATAGATGCTAATAATCTCTACGGATTTGTGATGAGTTCTTATTTACCTGTAAATAATTTCAGATGGTTATCTGAGGATGAGATAAATGCTTTAGACATTTGTAATATTCCTGATAGGAATAATATAGGCTATATTTTAGAGGTTGATTTAAATTATCCAC